ATTATTTCTGATGTGTTCTGTTAGTCAAATCAATTCAATCACTATTTGTTTTCGGTTGATTTAATGTTTTTCTTACTTTTTATGTGTTTTATATGTTTTTTATAATTTTTTATATGTTTTTAGAGTTTTTTCAAATATGTAGATAGAGTATAAAAACAAAGTACAGTATAAGACTGTGAAGGGTTAAGAATCGCGTGATGTGAGTGTGTGCGCTGGATTCGCTAGGTTCAGGCGGTTAAAATGGTGGTCTAACCTTGTTGATAGCTCAAAAATTGAGTGAGCTACACTCTCTTGAAGTTTCTGGAAGGTCGATGGTCGAAAAACTGGTCAGAGGTGCAGTGCGGCTGCGGTATACACTCAAACAAGCTCGCGCGGTGGTAATACGATCGACAGGGCTGTGAAAATCCGGGTGAATAGGATTTAAACTATGTATGAGTGGTAATACAACTTTATTTATGTATGTATGCGTGTACAAACTGTAATCGGTGTTACCACACACCTGCCGTACAAAAGCTGTCAGGCTGTCCTTTTTCAAGGTCTTGCGCACAGACGCTGAATGAACCGTAAGGTTTCGAGTCTTGGGAAAAAAATCTAGTAGAGTAAATCGATGCTTGCGCGTCGAATGGTCTACTCAGAATTTTCGTAAGTCCTCTCCTTCAGGGAGATCGCTGGCGAAAAAGCGTCCTGAATCCACAAAAAAGGTAAGAAGAAGGAAAAAAGTTTCAGATTTTAATTCAGAATATTGTTTTGTAAGACAAATAAGATTTTTTGGTCAGAAAAAATTTCGAAAAAATAGAGTGAAACAATTGTGTAGCGTTGAAAAACAGGTATTTTTGGTGTTTTTAGAGATTTTTTACGCTATTGAGGTGAGAAGTAATAAGAGATATGTAAAGAAGTAAAAAAATTCAGTCTGATAAGTCTAAAGCGTAGTGCGGGTTGCCAAAGCCAAAATCAGGAATAGTAGTGTATGTAGTAGTATCTTCTATTAATTCAGACTCTAGGAAGTTAAAAGGGGGTACGTCAGGAGGGAGATTAAAAGAGGAAGGGTTTCTGTAGTATTCAGATATGACAGATTTTACTTCTTCTAAATAGTCTGTGTAAGAGATAACAGTGTTGTCTGGCGCGTAAATAGCACTGGATAGAACTGCACTAGTAGTAGTAG